TGTGTACACAGCATCCTCCATCCATCTTTAAATATAAACCCAGAATACCCAAATCAGATTTGCAAAGACTCCCTGATCTACCTGCTACCTTACCAGATGAGGTTTTCTTTTTCTTTTCTTTTCTTCACAAGGGCATCTGTTTCTAAACAATAAATCTAATCTACCAAGACATTAGCAAAAGCATCTAAAGACTACCTCATCTCTCAGTTCTCATCACCAAAGCTTCTTCATGCAACAGGGTGATGAACACAGAAGGCCAAAGTATAGAGAATAAGAAACTGCAGAGTGTGAGTCCCTGGACAGGACACCTATGTAAAACCTCACCCACCAGGGCTCAGGGACCACTGCAGAAAAGGAGGTGGAAAGATTTCAAGAGTCAGGAGAGGAGGTGCATGACCACAAGGAAATAGAGTCTTACAGGCTCCTGGGACCTTTCTCATATGAACTTACAGCAATGGTAACAGCATACATAAGACCCATGCAAACTCAGTCAAAAAAGCAGCATAAAACTTGGGAAAGAGGCAGGAGGCCACAACTTTGGGAAAAAACTATCAGCAGCTCATTACTGCTGGGTGAAGGAGAGTTGATCTTGAAGGAAGTGACGCTAGACAGGCTGGACAGGCTCCAGTGAATGAACTCACACTGAGGGACATCTGGGTACACAAACATGGCTCAACAGGCCTTAACACATATGACAAAATATACGAAGTCCTGTGGGCAGGCTATGGAGGATGCAGATAGGGAAGGGGGACTAAATATGTTTAAGACATAGTGTATGAAAAACAGAAAAATATCAACAAAATATATTTAAAAAAGCAAAGATAGATTTTGAGAACAACAACAAAAAAGAGTATCTCGAGAAAAATTAGGAACCTATTCTCGAGAACTGGAAAGTTTTGTTCTAGAAAAGAAGTGAGATAAAGTGATGGAAATAAATAAAGAGGGAAATAACAAAAAGGATTAAACTGTAAATATCTTAATGCAAAATTAACTTATCTAATGATCACAAAATTTTTGTCTCCATGCTCTGACTTTGCCTCTTGATAATTTTCATTTGCTCATTTTCTCTTTCTGACCTTCTTGTGTGAGGTCCCCCCCCTCTTCTGTCACCATAATCTGCACCTTTATCAAAAAGTTCCATTATTTACTCAAAGCCTGGTAAGACATTTAGTTAGGGATGTACCAAACAGTGCAACACAGTTTCTACTTCCATGTGGGAGCAACAGAAGTGGACACTAGTTCACAAACCATCATCACATCACAACAGTTGATACAATCCATGCAAATACCAAGAAAAGGTGGTACAAAGTGTGCAGAAAGAGTCAGTGAGGAAGTAGGATTTTCACAGCACCTTAAAGTCCTGGAGAAAGTGTAGAGGAGAGGGGGTTCAAACACCTCCCACTTATTCTCCTAATTGGTCATGAAAGAAAAAGAATGGGCAGCTTTCTGCCCAGTCCCATGCCCAGTTCTCAATTTGTTGGTGGATTCAGTTGTTCTTGCAAGGTGATTAGAATTCACACCAAAACCTGACAACTGTTTGGGAAGAGGAAGGCAGAGTGTGAGTGAACAGGAGAGGGCATTGGGGAGCAAGTAAGATCAAAGTACATGCCTTACACGTGTGACAACATCGTAAGGAATCCCATTCCTCTGTACCATGAATATATGCTAGCATTTTAAAACAGCAAATACAACTGATGAGGAAATATCAGAATTCCCCCCATTTTAATATTTTAAGTTATATGAAGAAAGAATGAAACTTCAGGCTAATGAAGAAAACTATCACAATATTACAGATGACAAATATTGAAGCCAGGAGCTGAGGTGATGGCAACAGAGAAGCAGACAAGGGAAAAATTTGGAGACTAGAAAAAAATCAAATGTCAGGAATTTATGCAGCCTGTTAACGGCTGCATTTAGGAAAAGAGATTTCCTATTTCTGAGGGATTAGTATGGCGATGGGGATTTAAGCTCATCAACACATAGACGGTAACCAGTCTAGACTGCAGAAAGAAGCTCAAACTCCTCAAGGACTTGAGTTCACAGAACCACAATATATAGCAGATCAGTAAATATGGAGTGCCGGGAGACATGATAAACAGATAGCAACAAACGTGCATAGCACAGTACTCTACATATGGGTTACATGTGTGTCTATATGCAGATATGCATATGTACATGAACAATGTAGAAATACCTGCATGCTTACACTCATTACTTGTCATTGCTAGAAAGATCCCAAATTGAATAAAGAAAGAACCTGCCTCGAGTTGAGCGCTCTGTGCATGTACTCAGCAGTGCCAAGAGAGAAGGAAACCCACATCTCTGTCTGCCTTTTTTTTTATCTCTAGCAAAATGCTTTCTAAATTCTAGCAACACAAAGGTCACAGAAAAGATTTTAGTAGCAAAACATTTTATAAAAATGGCAAGTAGCCATTCCCACGTCCCACATTCTCATATTGGCACTTAATAGTATCATCAAACTCAATTTTTAATTTTCATTAAATACTCATAATGTGCAAAGCCAGGTTCATGTTTGCCATATGAGATATTTTTAATGTTGATGGAAAAATGAAGGACTATGTTCAGGAAATGAGTCTTAACTTATGACTCATAACATAACTCACAACACATTTCTCAGGGCACAACTGAAGACACACTTAGCCATTAAGCGATGGGATGGTAGACTGGCCTGGCATTACTACTTTATTATAACCAGAGACTGCACACCCTGTCTGCAATATCTGACCCACCGCTGTGCCCTGCAATTATTCAGAAATGTTAAACAAACATTAAGTTACCAACTGTCATGGCAAAGAGGCACAGAGCAAGGAGATCAGAAATCGTGTGTAAACTGAACATAGCACCTCTGATGCCCTGACAGAGCTTAGCTTAGACTTTGGCCACACCTGGATTTCAGAAGTTAAATAAAATGCCTGAGTGGTGTGCATTTTCCAGTGATGTCTTGTCCACATTTTCCTATATTTCTGTATGTCTCTAAATCATATGATAAAAATGTATTGGCTAAAAGTGTATTTCCTGTAGACACTGAATTCACTTTAACACATTAAAATATATTTACAGTCTAAACTGCCTGTTGCTTAATAAAGAAAACTATGTAATTTAAAGCATTAAAAACTTTCCAAATTATACACTGAATCAAGCAAATATGTCTTAAAATGCTAAACACTGTTTTCAGATACAAATGATTATGTATATGTGTTTCTAAAAATAAATATATACAACCAAGAAGACCATGAATGCCTTTTAGAACAGTATTTACTCACAGTATTATGGCAACAATTGAACTTGAACTTAATCTTTCAAATATATTTATCAGTCTACTAGTCATCTATCTACACCGATTTATTTGCAGAATAAGGTATTTAGCAAAGTTGATGTAAAGGTTTCTAGGTTCCTTCAAACTTATTTTGATCATGAATTCAAAGATGTTTATTATGGCAAAATAACATCAACTAGTCTGATTTGAAATGCTGGGGGTCATTTGCTTTCTGACCTGAAGGTATTTTATACTCATTTAGAAAGGATTTAGAACATTTCTTGATAGGAGATTTTTAGTGGAAATAAGGCTGATTTATGATAATAAACATATATAGCCTTACTTAAATTATTGTTCTTCATGACTGGCTTTAGATTATAACAAAAAACTCTACGGTGATGACAACTTGACAAATATTTTGTGTATTATGACAAAATCTATAGTTCTATAGATTTTTAAACTAATCTTAAAATGAACACACAAACCAAACAAAACCACATCAACTTACCCAAACGGATTTTTAAAATCCATTTTTTCCAATTAAAAATCTACTACATTAATAACAAAACAGTTATCTTGGGCTGTTTAACTTTTCCAGTCCCACAGACTACTGAAAACACAAGTTAACTATGTGATGTGCTCAGGGTTCAGTGGCCTGCCCTTCAGAGGGAAAGGAGATGGTATAAGTACAGAAAAGGCCAATTGAATTCTGATAAGATTTTTAAAAATATTTTTCCTATTTGAAAAATATTTTAGAATAATATCTACAAAGATTCTATTTTCAATGTTCTTTAATAATAAAGGGTATGTTTTAGATTATATGTCATAAGGAGAAATGATAACTGTTAGTTACTCTTATCAACCAAAACTCACTTCCCAAACTGAAATTATTAAAAAATATCCATTAACCAGAATAGAAATATGCCATGATCCCAAACTTAGATAGGAACACACATTCAGGTGGTTACACTTCCCTGAAGGACTTAGAATTGTATGCTTCTTAGGATTTAACTATTTCTACCTCTTTAAGGCTGTGATATTTACCCGTCACCAAGGAAGGGCGGTGGCCCTACCCAAATTTCCACAGCAAAATTCGTAAGAACCACTATCAAGGAAATATAATGACTGACTTAAAACGCATTCTGCAATAAGATGATGGAGAAAGATAACGTTTTATGAACTACCCAGTGTGTCTTTGAGTCATTACTTACTTAAACATTCAAAACAAAAATTCAATAATGCTCAAAATTTGAGGAAGCAAACTTCTGGTCTGAAAGGAGAGTGGCTTACATACAACCAAAGTCATCTTACGATTTTTAAACAGCTTGTGTCTTTGTAAAAAGCACAAAAACTGACTTATTCTGCCATTAAACAATTCCTATGACCATCATAAACCCATGTTCAGGTCACCTTGGGGAAAAAGTAATAATACTGTTTTAGTATTAAACAGTTATTATTGGACAGTTTGTAAACAAAGACACAGACAGTTTTCCTATTAAATTGTGGCTTTCTTTACCCCAAACATTTCTGTCTTTTAAACAGAAACAATGTATTCTGTCCTACAATAAGCCTCATCTCCCTGCATCAACAACCTTGACCATGTTCCAGCCAGCCTATTACTTTCGGTCTCCAGCACACAACTTTAAAAAATGATCTATTCCAAACCATGCTTCTCCAAAAGGAATAAATACAGTTAAAGAAAAATTAATATTTATGTGCTTACCTGTAACAAACACTTCTATGTCCAGAAAGACAAAACCAAATGCCAGAAGTCTAAGCCATAAATACATGGTAGTATCAGGAGATCGGCTGTGTGCCTAAGAAATAGCACGCGTCCCCCTGAAAGGTAAAATAATGGTTATCTCTAAAAGTTTTTCTCTGTAAAACCAAGTCAAAATTAAAAGAATCGAATGTATACTCTGCCCTGGTGTCTTATCAGACGGGGAGCAATTTCCTCCTCTGTTACCCTAAGAACAAACCACTTGGGAGCTACATGCACTGTTAAACAGTGATGTCAGATTCGTTTTTACTAACTTCTCTAAACGTACTGTAAAGGGCTCTCTTTGCAGGAAGTAAAAGAAAAAAAGAATTGTTCAAAGTCAGTGCAATGGCATCTTACTTCCTTAATTCAAGTAATTACACTGTTAGATTTTTTTTTCAATTTCCCCGTAAAGAAAAATGTTCTTTAACTATTTAAACATTGCACCTTTAAAATGTTCTGAGAGAACTTTTTGAAAAAAGTTAGAAATCTGTCCCAAAATCATCAATAATTTTCTTACCTAAGAGATGATAAAACAAATTCAGCATAGGTATAACCAGAAAGGGGTTGGCCAGAGGACGCAGTAACAGAGCTAATAGAAAGCACTGAATCCTTTTTATTCAGATGACCAAATGAAACAAGAAACTGTCTTTCTGGTTATTTCTGCCTACTGCCATCATTTACCTAACGGTATTCAAACTCAAATAATATGACTGCTCACTCAGTGACACACATTTCCTATGCAAAACTACCCTCAGAGGGCTCAAGAAACCCTCCATTTTTAAAATATTTTTGTTTTATTATTGTTTTTATTTTATGTGTATGAGTGTATTGCCTGCATGTAGGTAAGTGCACCCGTGTTGTGCAATGTCCGTGGAGGACAGAAGACGCTGTGGGATCCCCTGGAACTGGAGTTATGGACAGTTGTTAGCTGCCATGTGGGTGCTGGGATTCAAACCCAGGTCTTCTGCAAGAACAACTAGTGTTCTTAACCACTGAGCCATCTCTCCAGCCCCAGAATCCTCTATTTTTTTAGCTATCATTGTGAGGAGTGGAATCAGAATCTCCTCACTGCCATAGCAAATTCTGCTTCTGGAAATAAATGCTTCTGCAACATGGGGGACTGTGTTATTCATGAGGGAAAGAAGAGCAATGAAAATCAAGTGTGTTTAGCAGAAGTAAACCTGGTTCTTTTCAACACAGTACTTTCTCATCTTTTTTGATAAATACAACAAAAAAGTTTGTATGCAATGCTTTTCATGTTCTGGTGGTGTTCTCAGTAAACCCACCACTTAAGAACATGTTCCTTGATGAAAATCCACTGCAATGAAGCAATGCAGTTACATGAATTAGTAGTATTGGTATGCTGCCTACATTACAGTGCACCTTTACAACTTATTACTGGAATGACAAATAATGTGTGGGAGATGTGTCGGCAAACAGAGCCCTTGAACTAAATTTTGAATACCCAATTATGAAATATCATACGATTTTATATTTTTGTTTGTGTGTGTGTATGTGTGGTGGTGATGGTGTATGTATTTGTGCCTCTGTGTGTGTGTGTGTGTGTGTGTGTGTGTGTGTGTGTGGTGTGGTGTGTGGGTATGTGTGTGGTGTGTAGTATGGTGTATCTTGGCAGAGGAGGATGTGTGTGTGTATGTGTGGTGGTGATAGTGTATGTATTTGTGCCTCTGTGTGCATGTGTGTGTGTGCGCATGTGTGTGTGGTGTGTGGGTATGTGTGTGATGTGTAGTATGGTGTATCTTGGCGGGGGAGGATGTGTGTGTGTGTGTGTGTGTGTGTGTGTGGTGGTGATAGTGTATGTATTCGTGCCTCTGATGTGTAGTATGGTGTATCTTGGCGGGGGAGGATGTGTGTGTGTGTGTGTATGTGTGGTGGTGATAGTGTATTGTGTGTGTGTGTGTGTGTGTGTGTGTGTGTGTGTGTGTGTGTGGTGCGGTGTGTGGGTATGTGTGTGGCATGTAGTATGGCGGGGGAGGATGTGTGTGGTGTTTACATAAGGGTTTACCTACGCATGCACATGTGGAGGTACAAGGTCAATCTTGGGCATCTCCCTCTATCACTCTGCACCTTACTTTTAATACAGGGTCTTTCACTGAAGCTGGAGTTCACCAGTTAGACTAGATTGGGTAGCCAGTGAGACCCTAGGTAGGATCCACTTTTCTGTGCCTTATCCCCAGCACTAAAGTTACAAACATGCACTGTCACATTTACAGGGTGCTAGACAATCCAAACTCGGGTCCTCATGCTTGTGCAGAAGCACTTTACCCAGTGAGCTATCTCCACAGCCCACAGTAGACATGATTTTTTGATATTACAACTTTGTGTTACTCTTACTTTGGCTTCTAGAAGCTTTGAGAACATGGAAATAACCTCACAACTTATACTACATGTACTAAGTATTTAATAAGACTGTAGATGTGATTAGTAAGTGCAGGGATCATCCTTAGCATTTTAGAGAAATGAATAATACTTGAGCTAGATAGTAGTTTCTTATTTCTTATTTTGTTTGTGTCGTTCTGTAAAAGATTAGGTGATTCATCTAAAGTCTCACAAGTAAGAAACGGACCAATTATGATTTGAACCCCAAACCAAATTTCATCTTGCTTTCTTTGCTAGTCCGACACATATGTGCTGAAGCCTGACAATCCAGTGCTTAGCTCATTAGCCAATTTCTTTTTCTTTCTATTTTTTTCTCTGAGAATTTCAGACAAGTCCAATGAAATACGATCATATCCAACACCACCCCCACCATTTGCCCCTCAAACTTCCCCTGGTTCCTCTCCAACACATCCCTCTCCCAACTTCCTGTTCTCTTCTTTTCTAAAATGACCCACTAAGTCCAGTTAGTGTTGTCACATGTGCATGGGCATAGGGTCATCCTCTGGATCCTGGTCAACAAGCCAAAGGCCACACCCCAAAGAAGAATGACTCTCTCTCCCCCAGCAGTTACTAACTGCAATAGCTACTCAGAAGTGGGACCTTGCGCGCTCCTCCTCCCTACGTGCTGGAATTTCCACTCGCTTGATCTTGTGCAAGTCTTGTGCAGGTAACCACAGCTGGAATCTTTTACTATTCACCCCCCCACACACACATTATATGTGCATTTTTAAATAAGCTTATAAAATAATATTTCTCTATAGCCTTTTCAGACATCCTTAGTGATAGTCACCACTGCTTCCCTCTCCCTCTGTACATCCTCTCTTCTCCCTCTCCAGTTAATGTGTGCCCCCACTTTTCCCATTTCCCCTTTGATAGCATCTGTGTCCTACTATCCCCCTCTCTTGAGCTCCTTCTCCCCCATTCACACTATGGTCCCTTTCTATTTTCCTGCCTTCTGAGGATACTTCACATTATGTATTTACATCTAAAGACTTGGAGTTAGGATCCACAAATAAGAACATGTAATGTTTGTTTTTGTAGGTCTCGTTTACCTCATTCAGTATAATGCTTTCCAGTGCTAGCCATCTAACTTCAAATTTCGGCAAAGCTGAATAGAACTCCATTGTGTAAATATACCACACTTTCATTATTCATTCATCAGCTGCAGGACATTTGTGTTGTTTCTATTTCTTAGCTGCTGTGAAAAGAGCAGCCACAAACATGGCTGAAGTCCTTTGGGCATATGCCAAAGAGTGGTATAGCCAGCCATGTAATAGATCTATTTTTAGCTTCTTGAGAATTCTCCACACTGATTTCCATAGTTGCTGCACCAATTTACAATCCCACCAGCAGTGAATGAGGTTTCACTTTCCCTACCTCCTCACCAACATCTGTTGTCAGTCATTTTCTTGACCTTAGCCACTCTGACTGGGGTAAGATGAATTCTAAAAGCAGTTTTGATTTACATTTCCCTAAATACTAAGAATGCTGAGCAGTTTTTAAGATCTTTCTTAGTCACTTTTATTTCTTTTTTTGAGACCCATAACTCATTTGTAATTGGGTCACTTGTTGACTCTTTGACTTTAAGCTCTTTGGATATTCCTCTCATGTGTTCTACTGCCTCCTCCAATTACATTTTCAATTGGTTTGCAAAGTAGGAGGTTTCTGATATGGCTTTGAACATGCCCTTCCCTTAGACTAACCCTCTCTCCTCACCCAGGATTCCCCCATCTTCCTATGCCCCTCAATTTAAGCCTCAGTATTCCGTTTCTCTTTCATTTTGCCTGTAACTTACTATTTCCCTTTGCTTAATGTATTCCTGTCCCCCAAGGGACCCTTTCTAGTTTCCTGGATTCCACATATGTGTTAAGCACACAAAACAAAACATTTGAGACTAGGATCCACATAAGAGAAAGAATATGCAGCTTTTGGGTATAAATCCAAAGGCGGCATGGCTGGATCTTATAGTAGTCTGTATCTAGTTTTTTGAGAAAACTCCAAACTGATTTCCAAAGTGGTTGCACTAATTTACACTGCCATCAACTGTGTATAGAGTTCACCTTCTACCACATTCAGGCCAGCCTATTTCTTAAAATTCATGTGTAATGAACAACTCTGGGACTTAACTATGAAGGTCTTCAAACAGTTGTGTTCTGTTAGCTCAGTCTTATGTAGAATAGCATAACTGGTGGCCAGGAGGAAAGTGCATGACATGCATTCTATTAAAAGAGGCTGGAAGGACTGCTCAGCAGTTAAAAGCACTTATTATTCTTGCAGAGGACCCAAGTTCAATTCCTAGTACCCACATCAGGTGACTGACAACAGCCTATGACTCCAACTCCAGGGGAGCCTTTTGCCCCTTTCTGAACTCTGCAGCATCTGTACACACATGCACATACATACACATACAAACAGACACATAAGTAAAATTTTAAAAATAAATCTTAAAAGAGAAAAATCATAAAATATGCTATAAAATGTGGGCTTAATAACCTTGACAAGAGAGTTGGAAATCATGTTTTGTTTTGTTTTGTTTTGTTTTAAATCATAAGACATGAGGAGATTCAATTCCATATCAGGAGGTATTCTACCCAACACTTACAAGATTCATTAGCAACAACTGAGTTGGATTAGAAGCTTTATCTCCATTTATTTGTTTGTTTATTCATTTATCAATGTACTTATTTGAAAGGGAATCTCGCTGCCCTGGAAACTGCCATCTCCTTGTTTCTACCTCTTGATCACTGAAGTGACAGGCTTGCATTACGATGCCCATGCTTTATATTTTTATTTAAATCTGTTGAAATTTAATTAATCTCTACAGGAAATACTAGACTTTTAAGTAGCAAAATCTGTATTTTCTACTACAAAGGCGTAAAGAAA